AGATGCTGTGTTAGCTTCTCAAGCTTTCAAGTCAGCATTCCTAGGTGTGGGAATGTTGGGAGCCCTTGATCCTCTGCTTGTCTGCATAAGTTCTATGTGACTTTGGTGAAAAATACAGGATTTTCAACACAGAAAATAACAGAGAAGAAGCAGGGCTGTGGTTTGGGATAATCATGATGGCATAGGACTCAGGTGGGGTTGCTGCTTGCTTTCCATGTTTGAGTGAAAAATATGTGAATCATGCCACATACACATTTAAGCTAGATAAATACACTGAAGAAAATGTCTAACAGGTTATTTTTTCAAAATCTAACTCACATAAGTTCCTAATCATCTATCTATAGCTCTGAACGATGGAGGTTATCCATCTTGTATTCTCATGATTCCTGCAGTATTGGTTACCTCATTTGCATAAAATGAATAGAATAAAATTGTTATGAATTGTTACGAATCCAAAAATATACCGTTGCCAGGATACATCTTGCTCGATGCAAATGAAAATGGGTTTGTGCCGACCAGCTTAAAGTAGTTTGGAACTGAGACATTTTCTTATTAACATTAATAGTGATAAATGAAATATTACATATCCAGTGAGCTATTGAAATTATTAATATTTGTTTGGCAAAAGGAATTTTACTTCAAGCAAATCTGAACTAATGGCTGTACAATGTAATTCTATTAAAATACCCTGAGGTTTTGCTGTAGAAGCAGCATTCCAAGTGAATATTCCATGCTTGCTTCTTTATAAACTTTTGAATTTAAATGGTAAGTTTTTTGTTAATTGTTTTTATGATTTTCAGTGCTACAGCCTTAACAACAAGCATCTATCAGTGCATAGAAACACTATTATTATGCTTTGTCCATGCCTAATATGTGGGTAGTCATAGTTGACAACCATAACAAAAAAGAAGTCCTAGGATCTAACCACATTTCTATACAATGACACTGACAAACTCTTATTTAATGTATATTATTCTGACTTGCTCGAAATGACAAAAATATAATTTATTTTTATTTGAAGCATTATTTTTTATACATCCCCATTTTTAAGCTGTACGCGTGCATATCAATATTTTTTAAAGCACGTGCCAGAAGTTAAGCTATATAACTTTTCTGAGTAAGTTTGTTTAATTTGCATTGAATGCCTAATGAGGATACTTAATGCATAAAATAATTACATGGTTTTGGTGAGTGGTGTGGCTGCCCTGACCTGCCGTGGCTGGTCCCTTGTCAGCAAAGGGCTGGCTGCCCATGCCTCTGCCAATGTCATGTGCCACTTGATACCAGAGAGAAACTGGGGGTTACTACAGACAAGGCTCAGTGAGAAAAAAAACTCTTCATGCTGAAGATACCTGAGACAACTGAGATGAGGAAGTTTATACCCCCTTACTAATGGTTGGTTCTTTGATAGGAGAGAAAAATACCGACAAAACCACAGCAGCACTGTTCTTTCATAGGAAACAATTTCAGACACAATTTGGAGTTGTAAAATTATAGATTAACTCCCTCCTCTCCTCTCCTCTTTTGATTTATTGTGTCTTGGAAGCTACTGGCTTCATTCCTAATTTTCAGTCACATAGCTGAAAAATAAGATTATGTCCCTAAATTATAAAATAGCACTGAGGTTCCTCTTCACAAGTTGCCATTGCAAACAATATCATTGGTACTGTGAATTATACAAGTGATGACAGGACCATATTGAATATTCATATAATTTACTTCATAGAATATATAATTATCTTTTTTCCCTCTGTTAACCACAAAAATAAAGGGCTTCCAGACTGAGGAAATTATTAAGGGGCTGATGGAATGGGCACTGAAATTAAAGACCCTCTCCTTTGAATTTAGTAATTTCTGAACAGAGCTCTAAACCTTTCTTTTCATCCAAATGCTCTTTGTAATAACCTGTTTCCTTTCAGTCTGCACAGACCTAAAATGAGCATTAAGGAAGATTTCCCTTTATTCTACAAATAAACTCCCACATGTAATACTGGAGAAAAGTGCTAGATAAATACATTAGTTCTGCTTAGAAAGTTAAACATCAAAAGCTGAAAAGTCACTTGCCCATCTGTTCAGAGACTGCTGGTTGCATCCAGGTGATTTTGAATGCAATTCTGCATAAAGCAATGAGTTTCAGGACTTGAAAGGCACCATACTCTACAAAAGACTAAACAGCACTGTTCCAGGTAGATAAAAAATACAAGTATTTACCAGTATTGCAGATGACTTCTATGAATCATTCCTGTTTAAAAAAAGAATTTATGTCACCATTCAAATTTCACCAGATGTTATAAGACCAGCACCTAAAAAAATCCAGAGATTGCTGCTATGCTCCAATGTCCCAGTTGAGCCATGACAACTGGTTGTGTCATAACCATGAAATAAAATGTGTAAAAATCCCCTCAGATTTCAGACTGCAAATCAGTTTGGATGGGATTCAGTGTGAGATTCAGACTTCTAAGTTTTGGATGTCTGTCAGCAGGTGTCTTTAGCTAAGTGACTTAAATTTCCACTGCAGTGATGACAGATTCACGTAGGTAGCAATGGGCATTCTGACCTACATCTACAGGTCACAGGACCTACAGGTGCTTCTGGAAGATGAGTAGAAAATAAGGCAAGATACCCAAGGGTAACTTCAAAATCTCTGGATGTTTGTGCTTATCCCACCCGTGGATCAGGACTGGGGTAGCTTTCAGCTGTGATAACCAGACTGTTACTGGCTGGCCCATTGCATTGCTCACCAGAGAAGTGATTTTAGATGCCTACCTGCTTCTTGTGACGTTGAAACTACTTCATGAAAGCACCAGACCTGGACTTTAGCACTGCCTGTAATGGGAGATTAGACACCTAAATAATGTCTGAGAAATAGGGGTGTCTGCATTCCCAAATTTAGAGGCACAATTCGCCAGTGTAAATGCAAGCACATCCTTTAACCTGAGAAAGTTTAGGTATTAGTGCTTGAGGTATTTAGGGATGGGGTTAGCAGAGATAAGACATAAAATCATGGGTATCCTGAATCTTTTCAAAGAAAAACTGACTGATATGTGAGATCACTCACAGAGTCTATGTGATAAGAAATTACCGAGGAATCTAATCCCTACCCAATGTTCTGCAAACTGATTTTGTCTCACACAAGCACCAAGATAACAGTTTCACACAGACAGCTGTGGCCTGGCTACTAAGCCAGTAGGCAGTTAAATAATTGTTTCCTGGTCTCTAACATTATCATCCAAAGCTGAGAATCTGAAATCTATCACTCGCCTGCCATTTCCCCTACAGGCTGATCAACTTCAGTCTTATGGTAGTATGTGACACTACATGTAGATGTTCTACAGTTCATTTCACCAATATCTACCAGACCCTTTATTTGGCAGGAGTTAAAAGTTGGATTTTTCTAACTCCTAAATATTACCTGCATGCAGAATAAAAATATTCTTCTGGCAAAGTCCTTGATGTATTCAGTACAGACAACTTGAGAGCATACATAGCATGCAGTCATAGACTTAGGATATTTCCAAAAGATGGGTGACAGCTGCCTCTCCTTTTGTAAAAGCATCCAGTTCAAGACACAACCATTATAAAAGCAGTCAGAATGCATGCCCCAGAAAAATAATTAAAAGGAGACATTACGTTGCTAGCTGGGAATCTGAGGTTCAGTTCTTTCTCCTGGTTCAAGTTTTCCATGTGACTGTTCTTCCCGCTTGAAAGTGGAGCAATGCTATTTACTTCTTTTAAAAGGTACTTTGAGACTTGTGGGTAAAAAATGCAAGCCAGCAGCTCAGTGTTCTACTAAGCTGGGTGCTGTAAGGGTAGCTATACTAAATGTGGTACAGCAGCAGAGACACAGCCTTTTAATAGACTAAGTATGTCACTTGAATTATTTTCTAACTAGACAATTTGGAATTTTCAGACCAAAAAAGAACAATTCAAGGACATGTGGATCAAGCCTGGGTAAAGGGCAGAAGTTAAATCATGAAAGTGATGCTGCTTTGGACTGCTTGCTCAGAGGGAGTGACAGGCCAGAAGGTCAAAGCAGCAGCAGCAGGTCCTACACGTTCACAGCTCCACCAAACCACTCCACTTCGCAGCGCTCCAAAACTTGCCTTATTCATGAGAATCACACCTCTCTGAGCACACAGCTCTCCTCAACATATTTGCCCGAGGCAGAACGCAGCTGTGAACTCTCGGGTTCACTGGCACGGAGCTGTGATGGCTTTGTGGTCAGCATCACAGCATTTCTCACATTTAAAGAGCTCAGCAAGCAAAGCCCTTTGAACAATTGAGCAGGTATTTCTGTACTGTACTTCTAATACTGCCACTTTTTGTTTTGTTTCTCTTTTCTTGCTTTCTCACTCTAAATGACGCACAGACTGGCTTTTGGGGAAGGGAGAAACCAAGCGCTGCACAGCCATTCTGGCGACTTTAACCTCATTTAACCCTCAGCACAGCAAGAGGAAGTACAAAGTATTTTCACGAGCTGTGAATGGGCTCAGATCTAGTTTTGACGTCTTGAGGAAGCGCTGCCTTCTGCAAAGCCAGAAACACAAAAAAAAAATGTATGTGAAGTTCCGAACTCCAGGGTTCAGAGTCGCAGAATCACACAGAAACCGTCCCGTCCCACTTCCCCCCACCCCACAACAGAGGCCACCGGCGAGAGGGGGATGGGATGCCTGCGGAACGGGGAGGGTTTGGGGCAGCGCCGATGTCCCCGGGCGGGGCGCAGCGCGGGTGACAGTCACACGCACCCTGCCCTGATCCCGCCGAGCGGACAGCCCGGCGCCCCGACCCGCCGGCTGGGGAGCCAGGGGGTGTCCGTGTACGGTCCGCACGGGGTGGGAGACCCATCCCTGTGTCCATCCCCATCCCCATCCCCATCGGAGGGCGCCTCGCCCCGCGGCGGCGGGAGGCGGGTCCGGGGGAGCCGCGCCCGGGGCGGCCGCCGGCGGGAGCCGCACGCAGCCACCGCGGGGCGGGGCGGCTCTGCCAGCGTCGCGCTGGGCCGGGCGGGCTGGGCCGCGCCGCAGCGCCGGCGGCTGATTCGGAGGCGGCGGCGGGGGATGGACGAGGGTACCTGCGGCGGCCAGCGGCGACGGGCGGCCCAGGTAAGAGCGGGGAGGTACGGCGGAGCCCGGGGCTGCGCGGGGTGGGGGCTGAGCCGCCTCTGCCGCTCCTTCTCTCGGCGCCCCCGCATCGCGGCGGGGCGGGGACGGCGCGCTGCAGCCCCGGAGTCTCCCCGCTCCCCTCGCCCTCTGAGCCTGCTCAGCCGCCTTTGTGCCCGCTCCCCGGCCCCGAGGCGCCCTCCCCGAGACGCCCCTGCCCCTCGCACCGGGGGGGCTGCGGGCGGTGGCGGGAGGGACCCGGAGGGACACGGCCAACTGTTGCCTGGGAAGCGCCGGCCCCGGAGCGCTGCCAGCGGCCCCGGGGCGGGGAGCGGCGGGGGCTTGCTTCGCCCCCAGCCCCGCTTGGAGAGGCATCGGGTGCGGTGCGAGCCCGAACCGAGGTTCCCGATTGGCCTCGCCGAGCCGGGGAGGCGCTTCCCCGGCCACTGGGCTCTCCCCGGTGGACGTCTCCGGGTTTTCGGTGCCGGCCGGTGGGTGCCGGAGCCGCCGCGGCTGCAGGGACGAGCAGCGCCCTGGCGGAGCCGGCCGTGCCCGCGGCTGGGCCCGGGGAGCCCCGCGCTGGCCCGGGCTGTCGGTCAGACCGCGCGTCGCTGTGCCTGCCTGCGCTGAGTGCGGCGGGGAGGGCGGGGGGCAGAGGGAGATTAGGCTTCAAACTTTGATTACACCGAAAACTTTCTATTCCAGCTGCTAGTGATTGCAGGGTGCCATAAGGGTGGTGTTTCCAGAGGGATGTACCTAGACAGGAGATGAAAGACAGGCTCTGTAATGCTGCATTCATCTCGTTTAAATTGCTGTCCATGTTGGGAGGTGTTACAGCGAACAGATAGCACGCTTGTATCTGTTATTCCTATTACTATTTTTCTCGTCATTTGATTCCAAGACCGTTTAGTTTTATTTATCTTTATCTGGGGTTTGTTTTGCTAAGGGCTCAGTAACACATTGTGCTACTGTGTAAAATCGAATGCTCCGTAATTCGCTGGCAACACAGCGAGGCTCTTAACTGCACAGGCTTTCAGTGGTGCTGCTAATAACTTGCCGAGGGTGGTGATGTGAGTTGATTTCCAGCCTGTTCCTGGTCTCTAATTGCCATACAGACCATCTTTACACTGCGTTTTTTTTACCAGTTCTAAAGTCAGTTTATATGTGTTTGGGGAAAGGGTGGGTTAAGGGGGACAGAGATATCTTTGCTTTACTTCTTCTGTTTTGATCATCGCCAAGGCCATAAAAAAATTAAAATTACTTTGGCAGTGGGGGGGATTTGGAATGAAATGCTGTCGTGACATGAGGTTGCCTTGTGGGCAAAGATTTTCACATGCTCAGCACAGCTCTACAAAAATACCCCAACTCCTGTTACACAGGGAAGAACTGAGCTGATACTTCCTTTTTCTCTGTTATAGTAACTTTCATATTTCTATAACATGTAAGGAAGACTGTTACATCAGCAATATACTTTTTAAAAGTAATTTTAAAAATAAATCTTGTAAATTTAAGTCTCTTTTCTACTCTTCTGTAATACCCCCAATCCTTCATCTCACCAGGCCCAAATTAAAAATTAATTATAAACTCCTACTGTTTCCTATGGTACACTTTAAAATAAATGTTTTAATGAAAATAAATTACAGGTTATGGGAATATCATGAAAGGTTTGACTTAATTTTATAAAGAGCATAGAGTAGCAACCATGAATAAAATTCTAAGAATTTTATTCTTCAACTTAAACTGCTGTAGTATAGTTTAACTGCTGGTCTTTAAAGTTTCACTCAGTGTAAACTATGGCAAGTATAAGCAAGGCTCTCTGAGTTACTTACATGGTTTCTCAAAGACTGTGCAATATTTTGCTGTATTCTGTTCTGCACTTCTTCACTACCCTCCTGTGCTGCTTTTGCAGTGATGCTTTGTTTTTTCCCCCAAGAACTTCTGCTCTTAAAGACTGAAAATAAACCACAAGCAATTGAAAAGACAGTGTATATCAGTAATTAGAATAAAACCCCCTTGATTAAGTCAGAAAGGAAAAATGGTGATCATCTTGGATACTGTTGCATAATTACTGTCGTCAGATGTCATTTTGCCATGACAGTGAGTCTATAGTGAATTTTACAGTGCTGAGAAGATAATTCATTGTTAGTGTGCTTAGCTTGTCCTCATGACATCACTTTTGACGCTGTTTTGTCAGGCTGAAATATCTGGTCCTCAGCAGTATGGCAGCCTTACAAAGGCATTGAGGATTTGCATGTGCAGTATGTTGCTGATTTCCACATTGTGTGATATACAAAACGAGCTTAAATGCTATATGTTATGTAGATGAATAACCATTTCTGTACTTTGACAGAAATAATATTTTGTAGGTGTACAGGTACCATAAGTAAGATCTGTTTATCATATTTTTATCTACTTCCAAATGCCATTCCAATTAGAGTTTTTGGAGAAAGTAGAATATTTTTTGTAGAATTACTGGCATTCTTGTGCACTAGATGTATATTACATGCAGTAGCACATGAAGTTAATCATTCAACTCACATTTTATACAAACTAGAAAAATTCTATTCTATGTCTAAGCCCTGTATATGATCCAGACACCATTAAGTCTCCTGTTAAAATCCCTGGAGACAAACAGGGTATTTTTTTGGGACCTATAATGTCAGTGGATAGGGGTGTATGAATGCTAACAATGTATGTTAATTTGAAGCAGCCAAACATCTTAGTGTTTCCTCTGTACTGAATTCAGTATGTCTTTGGATCCATTTCAGTATTATCAATCATTCTTTTAGCAGTGCTTTCTACTCATGTTATCTAGGAATGCAAAACAGTAACACTAAATCAGAGAAAACAGTTTGAGAGGCATGAATTAAAATGTTTAATATATGGGGCAGTTTGAGAGCTGCAAAAAATGCAGTCATAAATTTGAATTTTGTTGTTTAAATTAAAATTGTAATAGAAGCTGCTCTGCACTCGTGTGAATGATGACAAGAGCAATCTGAATGATTTGAGCTGTAGAGGTCTTAATTGTTATGAAGTACCAGGAATTTGCCATTCTTCTACTTAGACAGAATTCTAATTCCTGCTTTCAATTAAAATGAAAAACGTGTCTTATTTTCTACCTTTACGTACTGCTCAATACAAGTTCTTGATTTAAACTGGTAGCAGCAGCTGATCCTACAGAAAAAAATAACAGTAATAGGTATAGGACATAACCTTTCAGGACTGACCCAGTGCAGCACTGACACACAAGTGCTTGAAAGATATTAATTTAGTATTGTAGGTTTAAAATGTTTAGAAATGATGCCAACATGAAGATACCAGCCATGAGATTTAAACATCACTCAACCTTAACTCAGGAATGGTTACTTTGGCATGCTAACAACTGAAATACTCTTGTCTAATTTATGAATTTGTCAATAGACTAGAAAACTAGAGAAAGCTATGAGGGGCTTCTTTGTGTATATTACCTTTTTTTTTTTTCTGTCCATGACAGTACTTCTGTAGTGCTTTTCATTGTGGACAGGTTGACAGATTTTAACATGGTTTGGATGACCAGCAGTGCAAAAGGTGAAGCTAATGCATAAGTTCTAGTTTTATCTTTGAGTAAATCTGTGTAAGGAATTTGCAATGTTTATAATGTGTGAAACACTAATTTTGAAGGTTCCAGTAGCAGTGCAGATTGTGGTGTTAAGTGTGCCTATCAAAAGTGCCAGTCTGATTTGGTTCAAGTCTTGGGTTATTAAATGTGATTAATGAACCTGTGTTCCTCAGGCCTGGTGAAGAGCCTCCCTAACATCCATTCAGCATGGGAGTTGTCGTGACTACAATGTGGCGTGGAGCATGCTGAAATGTTCAGTTTGATCCCATTTGTCTGTGATGAGCTCAGGATGACAGAGTGCAAGTTCTGACAATATGAAAACACTGTGGAGGTGGTTTGGTGTTTTTAAGGGAATGTGTAGATTTAAACTGACATTTTAGATAAAAGTCATTCTGTACTGTCCTGTATCTCTCTGATACACATAGGTTTAACTTAAAGTTTAAATAGTTGTTAGAAGCTTTCTTATATATAATTTATGGGATTTGTCGAGAGGGGGAAATTCTTCTCTCTGCTGTATTACTGCCTGAGTTCATAAATTATTTGAGTGGCCTATTTTACAACTAGATGCCTCAAAGCTGAGGTTGATGGTCCTAAAACCCATGTCTGAAAGCACACTTTTCTACATTTTTTACTGTGAAGAAAATGAGATGCACAGTTCTGCATCCATCCATAGCTGTTAACCACTGAGACTGTTCTGGAGAGTGGAATCTCTCTCCTGCCTCACTGCCTTTGGCATCCAGAGATGGGAATGTTCCCTGAGGATTAGAAAAGCTTGTTTTGCTAAGAAATAAGTGTAATCTATATACTCAAACTTGAGTAAAAGCATTTGCAATTATGTTAATTTCTCTCCTCTTCATGTTTTATGGTGCATTAGTTGCATCACACATTCATTAAGTATGACACTTTATTCTCTGTCCTTTTTAGCTTTAAGCACCTTGAGCTCACATCACCCTCTTCCCAAGAGACTGAAACAAGCAGAGTGTCATAAGCTGTCCTTTATTTCACCTGTAACCTCTGGAAAAAAAAAAATAAAAACAGTAATTAGGCCAGAGGCCTAGACTCCTGCCCTGTGATTAAGGCATTCAGGTGAGAGAAATCTGGTTTCTATGGGTGTTTCATTCTTTAATCCAGTAAATATTTTTCCATTTCAAAACTTCTGCAGGAATAGTCTTAGGACAGACAATAGCCTGTGGTTTAGGGCTCTACCCTGGTGTGCAGAGATGTGGTTGGGAGGCAGTCTCTCAACCTGAGAGGAGCCTGCCACCCACTTCTACTTCCTCTGTGGTTGCTTTCCTGATGCTGTTAAATAGCTCCGTGGTGCTTGAGGGCATGCTGCTGCCCTCTCATCCGAAACTTCAAAATTGCATGACTCCTGTCCTCAGGAGCTTGTGAAAGGAATGTATCT